CTGTTCTTGATGCCAAATTGACCTTTGACCCACATGTGAACTCACTTTGTAAGAAGGCCCACCAGAGAATGTATTTTTATCGGAAGCTCTGTGGTTTTAAAGTTGATTCTACTTTTTCTTTTTGTTTTATTGAGTCTTAACTTTCACCTTCATCATCTGTTGGTTTGGACTTATGACATGCAAAACCAGAAACACACTCTCGGGGATTGTCAGGATGTGCAGCAGAACTGTCTGCATAGTCCTACAGAACCTCACTGACCTGCACAAGGTGAGGTCGGTGAACAAGGCCAGGCTGATTCTGGCAGATCCTGATCACCCACTCCATGGTGAGTTCAGGTTGCTTCCGTCTGGACGCAGGTATCTGCTGCCCAGATGTAGAACGAACAGACTGAAAACTAATTTATCGCTGTAGCGATCAGGCTTCTCAATGAACAGTGATGATTTCTGTATTGTTTTAATATTTCAGTCTTATCAAGTATATATGTTTTATGCGCCTATTGACTGTGAAACAAATTGCCTCTTGGGATAAATAAAGACTGTTGATTTTGAACTTAATTAAAAGTTATTAACAAAATAACTTAAGTTATTTTGTTCAGGTCTAATATTACTGTATTTATTTTTGAATGCCAAAGTCATCTTTTTTTTTTTTTTTACACATAATTTAATATTTTTAACACTTTATATTTCTTTTAATCTTATATTTAAAAATAAGCATGTACAAGTTCATGTAAATGTGTTTTTTGATGCTTGACTTAAATTATATTTCTTTAAGAACATCTGGAGCTGCACATCAGTCCCAAGTCTTATATCTGTCATTTTCAACCAGAATTATGAATCTTTGAAAACTCATTCTGCATCTAACAGAGCAACAGATACTCAAACCTAAATTTACTTTAAACTGAACTCAAGAAGCTGTTGCTGTAAATGTTGGCGCATGTGCACTCATGCTGAGGTGTGTTCCCCACCATGACTGTAATATTATCTGTGATTGGCTGCAGCCTTTTACATTTATTGTTGTTTTACAGCCCGTCTATCTCCTCCTGCACTGACTCACCGTTCAGATCCAAAGATCGCTGCACCGGTCGCTCATGTAAACGCAGACAGATCTTCCTGATTGAACCTGAAGCCTCATCAGAAGGTGCTTCACTAACCTTCACAGCGTTTTTACCTGTCAGGCACATTGTCTTCAGTCGCGCCAAAGGCCCCATCTGGAACTACACTGGCCATCTTTACAGTGTGCAAACAAGGGCCTGGGCAGGTTTTATCTAAGACGGAAGCAAAGGAGAAGCTGGAAACTGTAGCAATTCACTTCTCTTTATTTAAACCTGTGTCCAGGACCAAAAGGACAATTTTATTTTTGGTTCAGGTATGTAGTTCAATTATTTTTTTTTTTTAAATACAAATAGAATAGATGTTGGATAATTTAAATAGACAAACATTTCTTCATTCTGTGTCAATATGATTATATTGTTACAGTGATAGAAAATATAATGGTTCAGTGAGAAAGCAGACAAATTTAAAACATTTTAGTTGACATTGTAGTGAAGCTAAAAACATCACTATCTTCACGCGTACAGTTTTTGATTATCTCTGTAGATTTTACTGTGATAGAGTCCGGAGGGAGTGGTTATCTTTGCTTTAAAGCTGTAAAAGTCAAGAAAACATAAGCATTTTTTTGTTATACCTGAAATGGACATTTTGTTCTTTTAAAAACAATTTGAAAGTTTTCATTATTATATTTTAAGGCTCATCTATGTTTTCATCCACATCTGCATTCATTTGAATGGGGGATCATCCAATGATCATGTTTATGGTGCAACTTTTTCTTCCTCTAAAGTGAGCGTTGCAGATAAACAGTGGGGGGATCTTCTAGTTAACAAATATTTAATTAATTAATTAATTAATTATGCAACCGGTCACTAAGAGGTTTGGGGTTGAATATCTCAAAAGTAATGGGCAAAAGTAAAAAAAGAAAGAAACAAAAAAAAAACAACTTTCAGAATAAAAATCAGAATAATGTTCCTCAACAAAAAGTAAGAAGACTTTCAATATCTCTTTATCTATAGTTCATGAGATCATCTGAAGATTTCATAAATCTGGAGATTTTGTCTTTGTTTATAATACAAGGCAGAAAGTCAAAACTGGATGGTCCTAATCTGAAGAACCCTCTGGGGTCACAGCAGAAAAATCAAATAGAAATCAGGAATGATTCTGTTCTGAACATTACTGCACAAGCTTGAGAACACAACCACATATCGTCTGTAAACACAGTTAGTCCTGCCATCAACAAATGCAGGTTATATGGAGTTATATGTGAACACCCAAAAATGTATCTTCATTGGACTAAAACTCATTTAAAATGGACCATGTAGAAGTAGACAACTATTCTGTGGTCATATATATATATATATATATATATATATATATATAATGTGTGTGTATTTTTTTAAGAAACCATATATGCCCACATTAAAATACACTATATAGGGAAAATCCTGACTGTGCTCAGTACACAAAAATCTACCTCTCTTATGGTATGGCGGTGCATTAGTACCTCTGGCATGTTCAGCTTACACATCTGTTGAGGCACCATCAATGCAAAAATGTATATACAGGTTTTAGCACAATATACAACAACAACTCATCACTGAAAGAACTGATGAACAGCTAGAACGCCACATCAGACAAGAATGGGACACCCCCCTCCAAGAGCTCCTGCAAGTCTCTTGAGTTCCTCGACATTTCAGACTGCTGTTTAAAGAAGAGGGAATCCATCACATGTTGAGATGTGTTGTTGCCATAAGATTCAAAATTATCCTTCATTTTTTTTAAAGATTCAATTAGTTTCATCGCAATTAATCAAAATCACCTTTATTTGCAAATTTTGTAAAAGAAGCATAACGATTTTATCTCTACCCAGTTGTGTCTCTCAACTTGCACAGAAAACACCACCTGAAAGCAATTTAGATCAAATATGAGTTTGTGAAAAGTGCAAACCATTGCATCACATATTCTACCTAACTCTGCCATAAATGTACATATATATTCGATTCAGGCGTGAAATATGGGAGAACTGAGCTAAAGATGGGGTCAGTGGTGTCCCGCAGCTTGTTTGGAAGAGCGAAACAGCAAGGTGAGCTCACGATGCACCAAAGCTTCATTGCTTTGTACATGATGCTTACGACACTTGCAGTAACTTTCAAAATGTCACCAGTAATTCTGCTGGCAGTGAACAGTAAAGGGCTGTTGGCGTTCATCTTTCCAGCCCTGCTGTAACAAATCACGTTTTATTTGTTGCTCTCATCTTTTCACAGAGGAGGAGAGACTCCTGCGAGCTAACGACAGACCGTACAGCCTGTCTTTTCACTATGCTGTACGTGCACAATGAGAAGCATTTCTATCGTAATCCTGAAGCTTTTCCTCAGCTGTAATCTGACTTCCGCCACCTGTCACTGTTCTTTTGCAGAACAACGCCATCAAGACCTCCAAATACAACATCGTCACCTTCCTGCCTCTCAACCTGTTTGAGCAGTTCACCAGACTAGCCAATGCTTACTTCCTCTTCCTTCTTATCCTTCAGGTAATTATGTTCTCAATATTCAGCATTTCCATTCACTTTGTCATTTATTAAAAAGCACATCCTGTTTTATTTTACAAGTATTTTTACATACTTGCATCAGGAATAGGTGTTTTTGCTAAAGTTTATCAGTAAATGCTGTATAAGTATTGTATTGTATTGTCTAAAAACTGAACTTTCCAACAGAATTATAATGTTTGCATGTATGTTTGTGTGTTGACAGCTAATCCCACAAATCTCCTCTGTCCCCTGGTTCACCACAGCTGTGCCGTTGATTGGAGTGCTGGGTATAACAGCTGTCAAAGATGCCAATGATGACATAGTAAGGCGTTCAGACATTGATTTAAATAGGACGTAGCTATAACACAACTAAAGCAACTAAAATCTATCATGTGCACAAACCTTTTTTTGTTGTCGTTGATGTTTCTTTTGAGTAGAACAGACACAAATGTGACAAGCAAGTGAACAACCGCAAGGTGAATGTCCTAGTTAATGGACAGTAAGTCTTCAGACCTCATATCCAAGAGTTGTACAAACTAAATTATATATTTAAATGTGAAACACGTGCAGCTTTATTAAGGGTAGGGTTTTGCTTTTTTTTTTTTTTTATTCTAGCCTGAAAAAAGAAAAATGGATGGATGTTCAGGTTGGGGACATTGTCAAATTGGAGAGTAACCACTTTGTCACAGTGAGTAAAAAAAAAAAAGGACATTTAAATATTTTAAACGCAAACTATTAACTGAAAACAAGTTCCCTTTCCCAGGCAGACCTCCTGTTGTTGTCCAGCAGTGAGCCTCTCAATCTGGTCTATGTGGAAACTGCTGAGTTAGATGGGTGAGTCTTCAGTCCACTCTTTGGTTTTTGTGGACCTGCCACTGGTTGTCCCTTCACTTATGTCCTCTTGATGTCTCCCAGTGAAACCAATCTGAAAGTGAAGCAGGCCCTGACTGTAACTGGAGAGATGGGAGACAATATTGAAGCTCTTTCTTCCTTCAGAGGTGATTAAATATTTGAAATACATCATACAGTTTTAAAAGCTTTAGTTAACTTAAATATGTGAACGCTTGTGTCTCAGGTGAAGTTCGATGCGAGCCTCCCAACAATCGCTTGGACAAGTTCAAAGGAAACCTGACGGTTAACGGACAAACTTACGGTCTGGACAACGACAAAGTCCTGCTCAGAGGATGTACTCTGAGAAACACCGAGTGGTGCTTCGGTCTGGTCATCTTTGGAGGTAAATATTCACCCTGCTGCTAGATCGAGACAATAAATAATGGGGGATGTAAAGGTCACGGATGTTTCACTTGCTGATGTCAAATTGATATAGAACCATGCATTTGAAGACAAGAGAGTCTTTCTGTCTACTCAGAGAGGAGCCTGAAAACTGATAGCTGATACTCTGACGCCTTCAAGAGATGTTCTGTGAAGCAGAGATTGTCTTGATCTCATCTCTGTTTGACAACCACTATAAAAAGATACTTCTTTATGATGCCTGTGAACAGACCGTGGAGACGAAGCACCATGTAACATCTTGAATGCTTGTTTTTCCAACCCCTGCTCCTCTTGTGAGATTAATTCTGGGCTAAAATGGATCTTCTAGTTTCCTTTCCTGCCTTATATATTTAATGAGTTAATGATAAGATAATTACATGATCCAACAATAAAAAAACGTCCTGCTCTGAAGCCTAATGAACAAAAACTGAGCAATATTTTCTTTTATAAATGGAGCAAAACTGTAGTGGAGAGGTCATGGAGAAATTAATAATGAACTATTTTTATGTTGCCATATGCTTGAGACGGCCACATTTTGCCGTGTACATTATGCAAGTTCAAAAATAGTTGGTGAAGTTTAAATTTAATTAGCTAAATGTGATATTTTTTATTTTGTTCAAAAAGGCATCTGGTGTTTACAGTGAAAATACATAATTTTCTCATTAATGTTTCTGTAAAAATAAAAAGTGTATATGGATCTGTACAAGGCGTGAATTAAAAAAAAAAATTGTACAAATATGAAAATTTACGTGGATAAATATCTAAATGTGACTTTTTTTCCAGGTCCGGACACCAAGCTGATGCAGAACAGTGGAAGATCAACCTTCAAACGGACCAGTGTTGATCACCTGATGAACGTCCTGGTGTTGTGTGTGAGTTTGTGTACGCAGAAATGCAGAACCCCTCCTGAACCTGGTCCAGGTTGTGCAGATCAGCTGGAAAAATGTGTTTAACTCACAGCATTTGATCACATCAAACTTGTCTTATAGTTTAAAATGATTAAAGTAGAAATTATAATGTGGAATGGGACCATTTTGCACAATATGTTAATACGAACACACCTCTTGGAGCTCGACTTCTTACACTCATTCACAAATGATCCTGTATCACTGTCAGAATGAGCAACTGACCAGTTTATGTCCTATGAATTCATTTTAACCACATTTATATGTTGTACATTCATGATAATTGAGATGCTCATGTTGTTTTTCAGGTGATTGACCACTTTTATTTATAGTATTTTTTTCCTTTTTAAGAGGATCTGCAATTATCTATTCCATCAGATTTTTGGGATTCTGGCAACTCTTTGCTCCATTATGGCGATCGGTCATTCCCTCTGGGAGGATAAGGAGGGCTCCGTGTTCACCGTGTTCCTTCCTCGTGTGCCTGGCGTTGATGTTCCTCTGTCATCCTTTTACAACTTCTGGTCCTATGTCATTGTCCTCAACACCTTGGTGCCCATTTCTCTCTACGTCAGGTACTTTTAGAAGAGGAAAACAAACATAGTCAGGAATATGCTCTTGAATCATTATTTACTGATTAATTTGAATGTCAGTGTGGAGATGATCCGTCTCGGGAACAGCTTCTTCATCGACTGGGACAGGAAGATGTATTACCCAAAGAACGACACTCCTGCTCAGGCGAGGACCACCACACTCAACGAGGAGTTGGGCCAAATTAAATACATCTTCAGTGACAAGACCGGCACCCTGACGCAGAACATCATGACTTTCAACAAGTGCTCCATTAATGGCAAGAACTATGGTAAGCACAAGCACCTTGACTTATAGAAAAAGTTTAGTCAGACTCGTATCTGAATGGCTGATTCTGTTCAAGTTCAAGAATCTTTATTATCCCCAAGGGGCAGTTTGTTTCACAATCAGTAGACACATGAAACATCCATACTTGAGAAGACATTGACACTAAAATAATGGTACAGAAATCACCACTGTTCATTGAAGAGACTGATTGCTACAGAGATAAATAAGTGTGGAATATTTCTCCGATATATAGGGGAGCTGTTTGACTTTTCTGGACAAAGACTGGAAATAACTGAGGTTAGAGGTCAATTAAACTAAAACATGTTTATGTGTGAAGTGGTTCTTTCTAATAATATACAAAAAAATGTACATTTTCTGTTGTTTTAACAGAAAACACAAAAAGTGGACTTCTCCTGGAATCAGCTGGCAGATCCAAATTTCATCTTTCATGATTATAGCCTTTTAGAGACTGTGAAAGAGGGAAACCCAGAGGCACGGGCCTTCTTCCGCCTGCTGGCTCTGTGTCACACCGTCATGCCAGAAGAGAAGAAGGAAGGTAAGGGTCGTCCATTGTCTGTTCATCATGCAACAAGCACTTTAGGCAGGAGAAGTATACAGCACTTTATTTATTTATTGTTGGGAGACATTCCCAGAGTGTTAATTACAAATTCATCTTTATTTATTTTGTCCATTTAGATTGGTGGTTCCAAAAAATCGGGGTCAAAACCTCAGTAAGGGCACTCACTTGGAATGTTATTAGCCATTAAATGGCTGTTATTAGTTATCATCCCATAGATTTCGTTCAGACTGTCCCTCCTGCATCTCTTAGTAGGTTTAAAAGTACGTTCTTATCGCTGATAATACGGTCAGGGGGTTAGGTTAAGAGTCAAGGGTGAGGGGGTTGAGTTTAGGGTCAGTGCTCTGGGTAAGGTGTAAGGTTAGGTTTAAGAAAAAGGTTAAATGAAGCTAACAATTAAAAAGTTTTTACACATGGGTGAAGCTGCATATTATCAGCGATAAGAACGTACCGTTAAACCTACTAGGAGGTAGGAGGGACAGTCTGAACTATGGGGATGATAACCAATAACGGCCATTTAATGGGCTGATAACGTTCGAAGCCGCCAAAAAGAGTCACGAAACACCAAATGTGTTGGTATTGAGGATATTTACGGAAATCAAATCACTTTTGAAAATGACTGTCAGTCGCAAACTGTTCTTATCAAGACATTAAAAACAGTAGTTGTAAAGGAACAAAAATAACATAACTGCTGTTGAAGCTTTTGTCAAAGGGCTCTTTATCAATGTTTGCACACCTCAGCATGCACAAGTTGGAGTCATTTATATTTGAGGGTTTTTTGTGTGTGACTTGAACAACAAAACAGTTTGGAGACACTGATTTTAACAACCAATCCATACTAAGATTTTCTACTTATTGTGTTTTAAAATGTCAAAAGCCACAATGTGCACAATTTTAAGTTCATGACTTGGTCACTTTTTCTACTTAATCATCCATTAATCCAGTTTCTCCTCCTGTTTCCACTTGGTAGGGGAGCTGAACTACCAGGCTCAGTCTCCTGATGAAGGAGCTCTGGTGACGGCAGCCAGAAACTTTGGATTCGTGTTCCGCTCTCGAACACCAGAAACCATCACAACCATGGAGATGGGCAGGAGAGTCACATACGAGCTTCTGGCTGTTCTGGACTTTAACAATGTGCGCAAAAGGATGTCAGTAATTGGTGAGGAGGAGGACGTCTTTGTGCAATCTTATTGGAAAAAATGTAAAACGTGGGAGTTTATCATCTCTGAGAGATTAGTGATGGATTTTGAGCAGCAGCATTTGTAAAATCAGAAAATATTCTGAATAAAAGCACATTTTCATTAGCAGACATATTCAATGATGTGGCTTTCACTGTTATTTTCAGTCCGTAGTCCTGAAGGTAAGATGAGCCTGTACTGTAAAGGAGCAGACACCATCATCTATGAAAGATTACACCCCTCCTGTAACAAACTGATGGAAGTCACCACAGGACACCTCAATGTAAGAGATGCAGCTGGGTGCATTTTCATGCTGGATCACTTTATACATATATTTAGATGTAACCTGCTTTGCATGATCCAAACAATACAGGAGTATGCAGGCGATGGCCTCCGCACTCTTGTTCTGGCCTACAAGGACTTGGAGGAGAGCTACATGGAGGGGTGGAGACAGCGCCACCATGAGGCCAGCACAGCCATGGAGGGACGAGAGGAGAGACTCGATGAGCTTTATGAAGAGATCGAGAAAGACATGATTGTTGGTTCATTTTCTAAAACAGCTGTGGAAAAATATGAATTTGTTAACTGCTTTTTGACAGACAGCCAAACACATTTATTGAATATCCTGACTGATCCATTGTTTTATTATGTTGAACAGAAGATACATGACCTAAATCCACCAGTTTTCTTTGGTTTCCAGCTGCTGGGTGCGACAGCTGTGGAGGACAAGTTGCAGGACGGAGTGCCTCAGACCATCGAACAGCTGGCTAAAGCTGACATCAAAATCTGGGTGTTGACTGGTGATAAACAAGGTGCCACTATTTATTCTTGTCTACATCAAGCTCTTTATTACTTATAAAGTTAAACTGCAATATGTATTCATATGCATTCTTACTGACTCTAAAACATGGAGTCAGCAAACCAGTCTGACCAGTCTCCAAGGGGCCAGAGCACATTTTTCTTAAGAAGCATCTTCTGTTTGCATTTTATCTCTCAGTCAGAGTTTATGAAGCTGACCTGATGTTCTCGCCTCAGTTTTTATCATTCTTCTTGTTTGAAACAGAGACGGCAGAAAATATTGGCTACTCCTGCAACATGCTCAGAGAAGAGATGAAGGATGTTTTCATTGTGGCTGCAAACACAGCAGAAGGAGTCAAAGAGGAGCTACAGTAAGTTCTGCACTGATGCTGTGTCATGTAGTCTGCTGATCAGAGGCTGGTTTAGTACAACAAACCAAACAAAAGATTAAAAATAAGAATTAGTTGATACATTTTTTTTGTAAGACAACAATGTTCATAAATGAAACCGGAGCTCTGAAAGTTGCTTGTTCTCTCTCTGTTCTGTTCAGAAATGCGAGAAGGAAAATGTGTCCAGAAGCAGCAGAGGAGCCGTCAGTGATGGAAGCTCGAGCAGGATTGTTCTGGCTCCAGAAGACAAAGACGGTGCAGGACGAGGACGTGGACGGAGACTACGGTCTGGTTATCAACGGACACAGTTTGGTGAGACACATCACTGCTCTGAGTTTTGGCTAAATCAGAAAACAAAGATTTTGTCCTTGTGTTGGATTCAAAAGCAGATAAAGCAAATAACTAATGTTTTATTGTATCTAACGGGGTCAGTCTATGTGTCGATTTGACAATTTGCATCAAGGTCATGAAATAAAATGAGATTTCAAAACAAGTTGCTTTTAGTGGATTTACTGTAGCCCATAACTTTGTGCATTAGTTCTGTGATGATACTAACATCACACAAAACAAATGTTTTAGCAAACTGGATCACAACAAAAATCAAATAAGAATGAATAAATGATTGGAAATAGTTAATTTTAGTGATTTCCATTCTTATGAAATATGTGTTGATCTGTTGGGGATGCATTTAAATTACTTGATGTCTATAGGTTTGTGCACATTTGTGTAAAATATATTTAATACATTTCTCTTCAGGCCTTTGCTCTGGAGAAGGACTTGGAGCTGGAGCTGCTGAGAACTGCATGCATGTGTCAGACTGTGATTTGCTGCAGGGTCACTCCTCTGCAGAAAGCCCAGGTGGTCCAGCTGGTCAAGAAATACAAGCAGGCTGTCACTCTTGCCATCGGGGATGGAGCCAATGACGTCAGCATGATCAAGGGTAAACTCAGGCAGAACAGGAAGCAACGCACCGGCCTGTTAGTCCATGTGAGAAATAAATCTTGTTCTGTTTGTCCTTTAGCTGCTCACATTGGAGTTGGAATCAGTGGTCAGGAGGGGATGCAGGCAGTTCTCTCCAGTGACTTCTCCTTTGCTCAGTTCCGTTACCTCCAGCGTCTCCTGCTGGTGCACGGTCGCTGGTCCTACCTTCGCATGTGCAAGTTTCTACGGTACTTTTTCTACAAGAACTTCACCTACACCCTTGTTCACTTCTGGTATGCCTTCTTCTGTGGCTTTTCTGCACAAGTAAGTAATATGTCAACACATACAGATATATGTGCACACTATATTCATGCAAATTCTGATGTGGATCACTTAAAATCCAAGTTAAGTTTTAGTAACTCAAATAATAATGCACATTCAATAAGTTCATTCAGTGGTTCCCAAACTTTTCCATTTTAATGAGTTCTTGTGACTCAATGAGACTATCTGTATAAATAAAGGGTGAATGAAAAACTAAAGTTTTAAACGCTGTATTATATTCCCACTCAAGAGGCGCTGAAGTTTTGAAGGTTTCAAACACTCATTTTCCTGCCAGGGTCTTCAGACAGAGGACACATTTTGGGCAATCATGACCATTTTTCTGTACCACTGTAAATGTTTGCTCCTCATACCTTCAAATTTTAGCTGGGCATTTTTATTAATTTTTTTTCAGCAGTTTCCACCACATCAGGACTGCTGGTCGATTCCTTCGGCCTTTTTAGAAGCTTCTTCATTTTGTCCTTGCTTGAAGAGTCAAGCAGCTTGACTGGCAGCCAATCAGCATGGCGAAAAATATTACAATATATTATTATAAAATATATTAATAAAAAAATTAATTAAAAAATATATTTTTGTTTAAAATATATATATTTTTTTTTTTTCTGTCCAGCTTTCTGAGGTCTCCCTAGCGCCCCCTGGCGGCCTCCACTTTGAAAACCACTGACATCATGTGTTGTCTGAAGGAGCTATGACATTTCAATGACTTTAAATGTTCTGTTTCTGGCCATAGACTGTGTATGATGATTGGTTCATCACCTTATACAACACGGTATACACAGCGACTCCTGTCCTCGCCCTGGGCCTCTTTGACCAGGTATGCACCAACGGGAAAATACTACTGAACGCAGTCGCAATCTTTACAAAATTTAAAGTGTTTGTGTTGTGCATCAAATCCATAGTTCACACCCTGATATTTGCTTTCATGTCTCTTTGCTGTCTTTCACCTTATACTTGCAGGACGTCAGTGACAGCTGGAGCTTCCGGTATCCACAGCTCTACTCTCCTGGCCAGCTGAACATGTATTTTAATAAAAAGGCCTTTGTAACCTGTATAATCATCAGCTGCTACAACTCCCTCGTCCTTTTCTTCATCCCCTGGGCCTCCATGCACGACACTGTCAGGCATGACGGCAAGGACATAACAGACTACCAGTCCTTTGCTCTACTGGCGCAGACCTGTCTGCTTGTGGTGGTGAGCATACAGGTAAACAATACAGCTCTTCATACCACAGAAAATACAGAACAAAGTAGAAATACTCAAAGGTTCTACAATAATTTAAACATTTAAAAGCTGTTTTAAGACACTTTGGGGATGTCCACAATATTGTACATTTCAAGTAATACATGCTATAAAAAGTATGTGTATTCTATGTAAATAAACCAGTTTAATTTTGTGTTTTGAAGATATGTCTGGACACCTATTACTGGACAGCAATGAACCAACTGTTTGTGTGGGGCAGCATGGCTGCGTATTTTGCTGTAACATTCACCATGTACAGCAACGGCATGTTTTTATTCCTCCCCTCCGTGTTCCCCCTCATCGGTAAGTAGCTCCCTTCCTCTTAAATGTGTATACATTCTTTAAGACAACTTTGCATTTAGGTGTGGCCTCTTCAGTTAGGTGGAGTTTGCAATTTGAGTCAGTTTTTGGAAGCACTGGAAACACAAGTCGTTATTTCTGTACTCAGTACAGTGGGGCTGTGCAAACAAAACAAAATTCAGACTACTTTTTATTTCTATTTATTTCAGGCACAGCAAGAAATTCTGTGAGCCAGCCGAACATGTGGCTAACCATCTTCCTGACCTCCATCCTTTGTGTTCTACCTGTTTTGGCTCATCGCTTCATTTACATGCAGATCCGTCCGTCTGTCACAGACAAGGTATTAACACAAACCATGCAGACCACGGGTGTCCAAAATGTGGCCCGAGGGCCATTGGTGGCCCTTGGAGTGATTTTGTGCGGCCCACAACTTCAGTTTAAGAATGGTGTCATTTTGTTCAACCGGCTTAAGAGGTTGATTCAGACTATCTGCAGATTTGTTGGTGATCCTTTGTTATGTAATGTTTAGGTTGAACAGCAAAATGGATGAAAAATAATCTTCTCAAAATGAGAAATATGAGGGTAAATACAAAACACTGACTATATATATATATATATATATACCAGAAAGGAGATTTTTGGACAATGATTCATAAAACTTGGTTAAATATTGCAATCAAGAGAGAAATTGGACATTTTTAAATGAATATAACGTGGTATCATCTACATACGAGTTGATCAACTTTATCAAATCTTCTATGAATCTGTTGTAGCGACTGACAGCTGGACCATTTTTCAGAACTTTGACCAGCCTTTTGGTCCTGCAATGGTCCCAAAGGCTGACCGGCCCTTTTTAAAACGACACTTACTCAAATTATGCTTTTTTTTTGCTGAGAACAGACTAAAATGAACTTTCCAAACACAAGAAAACAACAAACACCGACCCAACTAATCAAATAAATCAAATCCTTTTTAATAAAACATATAAGCTTAGTGTTAATGAAGCGTTTAATGTTTTGGATCTATAACAATTTAAAACGTTTTCCACCAAAATTAATAATCTTTTGTCCTTTCACCTAAACATTGTTCACGTTGAGAGTTAAATTCACATTTTTGTGGCCCACGAGTCCTTTCATCTGGATAGTTTTCACCCTCATATGAAAGCGTTTAGACACCCCTGCAGACCATAAATTATTACTATCCTTTTAAATTACCGTATTTTCTGTCGTAAACGTCGCACCCCCTTTTAGTCGCATCAGTCCAAATATATCTAATTAAGTGGAAAAATCCATAAATAAGTCGCTTCTGCGTATAAGTCACAGGGCATGCAAATTATGTAAAAGAATGTGACTTATAGACCAAAATATATGGTACTCTCCTACAAATAAACTTCAGTATTGCATAGCTTAATAAAATAGCTTTTGAGTGAGTCAGTTTTTCAATATTTGAACTGCTTTTGGAATATTTTCAAATAGTGCTGAGGCGCCCACAATCTTTGCCAGGATCCTCAAATTTGCTCAGAAATGCATGTTTGAACAGTTTATTCAAGTCATATCAATAAATTGACTTTAGCTAATTTTGTGTTGAAATGATTTTATCTTGTCTCTTTTTTGTTCCTGTCCAGGTGAAATATAAAGCAGTAATGGAGGAGCTGCCTGCACCTGCTCCACACCGCCCACGTCCCAGGCGCATCAGCACCCGCCGCTCAGGCTACGCCTTCTCCCACTCTCAGGGCTATGGTGAGCTGGTTACATCCAGAAGGTTCCTGCGTCTGAAGAGTCGACCGGCTCTGTTTATCAAAACAGACTCTCCCCTGGTCGAAAACCAGCCGCAGCACTATCGCACCATAACGGAAGAATCGGAGGAGATACAGAGTTAAGCTGCATACTGGGACTGAACCACTGCAGAGAAAGGATTTTTTAAAAAAAATCTGATTTTCAAACCTGACTCTGACCTTACAAAGGATGCCCAATGGAAAGCCCTCCTAAAGCTGTGACAATATTAAAATGGCATTCAAATAAACAGTAAATGCTTCATACCGGTTGTTTATGATTGGTAATATCACTGTGAATGTGTTGAGTTTACAAAATAAAGTCTTAAACGTTCACTTCAGTGGTGTTTTGCTCAATAAGTGCAACTTTTTTGCAGTCTTCAAAACTGCTGGCCTTGTTTCAGAGCCCGATGGAAAATTTCAGCAGATTAATTTCACAGGTTGTGAATGGGCTTTAATCAACAAACAGTCGAAAACAAACATTTTGCTGCCTAATAAAATGGAAAAAAACTTATATACGTTTTTATTTAATGAAAAAAGCATTGTTTGCATTCCATTTTAGGAAACTACGCAAATAAATGTAGTGTTTTTTGTTTAATAGCACTTACTTTTTTTGTCTTATAATTTGCATAGGACTAAAAATAAAAGGTCCATGAATGGGCAGAGGTCAGGGAATCCATGAGCACAGTATTTAGTAGTCTTATTGTCTGTCCAGATGTTTCTCCTCTGTTTTGCTTCCTGTCTTAATCACAAAATCTCCATGTTATTATTCTTCAACAGGAGGAGGTCTAGTCTTCAGGACATTTTATAATGCCTATCACAAATAACCACATGAGGGCGCTGTTTCACAAAGAATCCTGATTTAATTTTTTTTATCCTAAGAGCACAAAAATAGGATCCATAGATGAAGAGTGTTCCAGCTTTAGATCTGAGCCACATGTGACTCATTAGACCTTCTGAAATGGACATAAATAAACCAACAAACCCCCTCATGTTTGTTCAAGAAATGGTACTTTTAGCAGTTTTCCTGTCCATCATTTTGCAACATTTGCATCATATTAATTATAAAAGCCTTGTGTTCATAACCTGTCATGCCAGAATGAGCTACATCAATGTGGCTTTAATTTAATTAAATGTGTTGAAAACAAATGCAGTGATCAGTTTCACTGTTTCAGCTCACGCTCTACTCACTACTCTGCAAATTTCTGACAAACAGTAAGATTTTACTCAAAAATTCAAAGAAAAAAAGCATATTTTCAACATATTTGAGATAAATGACAAAATAATAATAATAATAAAGAACAGAATTTAAAGTAGTTTTTATTTCATTGAGACCATCAGAAAATTATTTAACACAGTGCATTATTAAGAAATAAACAATTAGACGGATCTAATAAAAACCTACAGCACCTTAAAACACTTAAGAAATAAAAATCGTGGGGGAAATAAACTGTCACAATGCAACTGTATATTTGGAGACTTGGTAAATCTGTTTAACCTTATTTTAAGGGACAATATAACTTTGCAGCTTTTATTACATTTATTAAAAAAAAAAAAAACTGGCTATATAATCCATAAAGATTGCAGATCCCAGTCTTAAAATGAATATTAAATGTTACGTGTTGGTGAACTTTTAATAAAACCAGTTTACCTAGTGGCAACTTTATCCAACAGGTACACAACTTGTTTAGAGATTTGGGATATAATCCTAGTCTGCACAGTTTAATGGACTTCACGTGTTGTTGAAGCTTTTCTTTTTTCGTTGTGCACCTCCTTTACTTAAATGACTTGATGCTATCAAAAGAAATCATGGATCCAATGACATGTCATCAGTGGAAGCTGATAATCTCATCAAACTGTGCACGCGTCCAACACACGTTCACCTCCGTGTTCATCAATGAAATCAGCGGACACGTGACCTGCGTCAGCCAATCAGCTGAGCGCACCTGCAGCCACTCACAGCTCTTTTAGGAGCAATTTGGGCGCAGCGTGCAGTGGCGTCTAGTGGAGAAGAGGGGAGCGTGTGCACGGTGCTTCCCACACGCGCAGACACCTTTCAAAATCCGCTCACTTCGAAACGAATGGAGAAACGCACGGATCTGGCGCAGCTGTTCTGCATGATCGGCCGCCACGGTCCCGCCGTGGCTGTGGCCGTGATGGCGATGGTGTCGGTGGTGGCCGGGTTCATCATTTACCGGAGCGTGAAGGGGAAGCGGAGGAAGGCCGCAGCCGGGGACGGTGCGTGCGGGAGCCGCGGGGCGTCCGCGTCCGAGCTGGAGGAGACCCGCAGCTGCGTGGCGCCAACAGGTACTTCATGTTTGATCGCAGCAAAATGGGATTGATCAAACCAGTGAATGAAAATGGTGTCAGGTTTCAGAACAGCATTTTGAAACTTTGCTTGGAGCATGAAGCAGCTGTGTAATGTCCAACTGGTCCAGACCCCACGCCATAAAACGTGGAAACACAGGCTGTCTTGCATGCGCACTTCAGTCACTGCTTTGAATTTGGACGCATGCTCCATTGCTCAACAATTTTTATTTATTTTAAGTTGCTGTCTTCTGCAGAAGTTGCCAAAAGGTCCACTTCTTGTATGCACATGGGTTACTTTGTGCCATTGTTTCAAATGCTTCATTTGATGGGCATCTGCACTGAATCATTAAGAAATTAATTTATAATTTGGTAAGTTTAGACTGTAAAGCATTGAGACTGAGCCCCCCCATCATGGTTTAGTAACTATGTTGACTCTTGTATTAATCAGATTCAGCTGAGCAAGAATTCAATCATTGATTTTTATTGATTTATCTAGTTGTGGAAATTTTTGAGTTCAGAGGTGAAAAGGCCGTTGGAACATTTTTTTTGTACTTTCTAATATTTAAAGATTTATTTTTAAGAGATTGAGCAGCTATACAGCAATTTAATGCTCATTAAGATTTTTTTTTTTGTTGCCTAAAAATGACATTTTTTTTAATCTTAAATAATTGTAATAAAAACAAATACTTGACCAAATGCATGTTTAATTTTAAGCATTTGTGTACTTGTGGTGGCCATCTTGAATCATACTGAATAAAATATTTGGTTGTACAGGTGCTCAATGATGTGAATTCCAATAAACATTCAGTGGTTTGTAAGATTTTAACATGCAAATTCATAACTGCTCTCTTTTTTTTTTTTTTTTTTTTTTTTTTTTATCATGGCATGCACCAAAGCTTTAGATTCTATTGTGAAGAAAATATCATAATGAATGTTAAAATTGCTTTCTTCACATTTTAGACTTTCAAAATGTTAAGTATTACAACTGGTCGCATCTAATGGGTTATCTAAAGTCTGATCTAGGAAGTTTTGAACTAAAGTATACAATGTTTAGTTTAATTTCTTTTTGTCTAGATCTGAGTGACGATGACTTGTTGGATATGAACGTCGCTAATGTAACGAGGAGTCCTGGCAACCTCCGAAAGCGCCGTGCTGCTGAGAAAACATCCGATGCGCCCAAGAAGGAACTGGAACCAGAAAACAGACTTGATGCTTCACGTTCGTTGGACTCTTCCGGTGTTGCTGAGGAATGTGCAAAAGTTGCTTGGACAGTGGAGGAGGTCTGCAACCTGAGTTTACCAGATGATGAACCTTCAAAAGATGCAGAGGAAGTTCAAAGTAGCTGCTTGACACCTGTAGAAACTTCTGCTGGACATGAAAACGAAGAGGTGAGACCATTTAATACGGACTAAAGGCTAAACTAATATAAAACCTTTTCCTAGCATAACCATAAATCCAAAATCGCAACTCATTGTATTTTATTTGGGTCTTTTTGATAGGTGCCAAAAGCACAGGAAGTTGGGTTGGCTGTGAACAATGCTCTGGATGAGAAACTCGCAGAAATGGAGAAACTGGCTTCAAACAGCCCAACTTGCCCTGAAAATGCTCCAGCAAATCAAAACCAGGATGATGCACAAATAGAAAATCAAACCACCCCAGAAACCATCGACGTGGACTCTTGCTTGGAAGAGCCAGTCATTTGTATGACTGCTGTAATCTCCTCTAGCAAGGACAAGACCAAAGAAATGCCCCACCCAGATCAGGTAAAGTTCTCTGATGGCAATAATTGCAGTTCTTCAGAGAATGTAGAAAGTGTGCCACAAACTAAAAATGCACATGAGCAACAGATGGCTTTGGATCATGTGATTGGCTACTCTACATCGGAGCAACCAAAAGTGCCATCTTCACAGCAGGGCCGGTGTGAGGATATGATTGAGACCATGTTGGGTGCTCATGATATTTTGGATGCCAACTGTAGTCCATTTAGTGAGGTGATTGAAAAGGACATTGATGAAGACCATCTGAAGCATCTTGCCACAATCAGTCCAGTCACACTAGAGCATAAAAATCAAGAACTCGTGTCTGAACACACAGTTGATCCTTCCTGTAACCAAGAGGATGGCATTAAGGGTGTAACATCTTCCTTTGAAGAATGTGATGGTTCACATGGGATCAGCGTTGCTCTCCCATGTCTGAATAGGGTTGAATTAGAAACTATGCATGACCAAGGTTTATGTGCTACAGAAGCTGAATTATGTGGTTTTGTACCAGTTTACTTGCAACAAGAAGTTACCAGTAAATATGAAATTTCTCTAAAGTTGCCTAAAGACACTGGTCTTGATGGTCTTGCATTTGAGTCTGGAAGTCTTCAGATGGAGAAAAAGGAAACTGTCACAGATTTGGTTGTTCTTGACTCAAGTCTGGACAATTTACTAACATCTTTCATAGATGCAGACGTTTGCTCTGTCATGCCTTCCTTCCAAAACCAAGAATGTGAACAAGTGCAAATTGAAGATTTTTCAGAAGTTCCCACTCTTCCTGTCCCGGACCTGTCCGAGAGCATAACGATGTGCCAAGGTCAGCTGCCATCTTTTGAGCATGGTGAACTGACATGGTCATCTTGTGGTGTTGGTGAGGAGAGTGGGATTTCAAGCATGACTGTCAGCCCTGATTTGCCTGACATGGAGTGTGACGCAACTCCTGAACGCATGGCGTTCTCCGTCACTGGTCAGTATCCAGTGTCTGAAGAACATGTTGAGGATCAATGGAATTTTCTTGCTGAAGAAGTTGAGTTTGTCAGTAAGGATATTCTAGCAGGAGTATCACTTGAGTCGTGTCCGTCACATGAGCTAGCCCACATTGAGCACACTAAAGCAAATGCGCTTCCTCCAACAAACGAGGATGCGTCTGCTCAGGAGATTGAGGAAAACTTCAAACTAGCAAATCATTTAATAGCACAGGTTGTGGCCAGTGAGGTCTGTTTAATGGATGCACTTCAGAATGAGATGGACACAAAAGCTGATGTAGAAAGTGAGCAGAAGGAAATGTCAGAAAAGGACAAAATGACTGAAATTAATATCATGGAAGCAACCATGGACACCAATGAGTGGATCACAGATGGTAACCATGAAGTTCCATGGATTAACCTTTCCGTTTCAGCTCCCCACAACACACGGACTGCCTCAGTTTCCTCAGGACACCACCTCAACTCTGTTCCTGTGGATTCCCCTAGTAAAAATGCAGATCCCCTTTTCAAACACTCCAGCATTACGAATGAAGGCAAAGGAAGTGACAAAAAGGTTGTGGCTGTCCAACCCATGCCCCAAAATGTCAAAGTGACCTTCCGCATCCACTATCTAACAAACTCGCCATACCAGAAGGTGGCTGTCACAGGAAACAAACAGGAGCTCGGAAACTGGAAGGGTTTTATCCCCCTTGAGAAGGCAAAGGATGGGCACTGGTCAGCTGTGGTCAACTTGCCTGCAGAAAGCCACATGGAGTGGAAGTTTGTGGTGGTGAACCAGGGTGAGGTGTGTCGCTGGGAAGAGTGTGGTAACCGCGTGCTGGATACGGGCTCTGCAGAAGATCTGCTGGTCCACAAATGGTGGGGGTTCTTTTGAGAAGGCTGGAATGAGTAGTATGGACTGGGCTTTAGGACATGGCCAGGTAATGTCAAGTTTGTTCACTGGACCATCTTAAGTTTAATTACAATTATGATCCGTTGGTGTAAAGTGGGTAAATATGGTAAGAGTTTCTACGTGTTGTGCTATAGTTCTGGTGAAATTGTACTAAGCTTTAGTGGTGAAATGAACAGGCGCTCATTGTCAAGCAAAGCAATAATTATTTTATAACGTCACTTGTAGTAATTTTTATATTTTTTTTTTGGCAAGGGGTGGGGGGGATGTTTACAAAGTAGTGAACTGTTCTAGCTTGTTTCTTTAATGCACAACTTTTTAAAGTTTAAATTTGGAGACCTAACCGTAAGATTTCCAACAGGACGTGTGTCAGACAAAACCACCTTCTGACATGTTTTAGAAGACATTTCTGTTGCAGTCTTTCAGTGAGTGTACTGTAAAGACTGCACAATCTTGGTGGCTATATCTAAAATTATGCAAGCTACACCTCCATATGGGGGGATTTAATGCAAATGTTTGGCTTCATTATACTGCCCTTATGCTGTTTGAAACAATCTAAAGATAAATGCACACGTCTCTTTCACTACAGCAATAATTAAAGCAATAGTTCTGACTGTGCTTGTATCAGGTCACTCTGTGCTGCGTCTTGTCACTACAGCTTTAATGAATTTTCACTTTTTTAGTCTTAAAATGTAATTGTTCCTACTGAATGTGTTTAAATTTAATGAATAAAATACTATTTTTAATTGTGGCTGGATTATTTTTTTTGTTTTGTTTTTAGAAAGGTGTATTTTGTACTGGGTATACTGTGCTTGGAAACCACCAAAGTACACTAAATCTATAGAAGTACTTAAACATATTGACAATTTCCAAATTTATCTCCGAATAAATGTACAACAGTTGGCTTTATATTAATATAAAATTTATTAAACCATATCGAAGCAAACAATGTTGAAGTATTGAGTACATAATTATACAATCACTGGATGAGCCAATGTGATAAACGAGCGATGCATACAGATTGTTATGGAAGTGTTAAACGTATCTGACTCGTGCCTAATGGAATGTAATATTAAGCACTTTTTTTAAGTGGGTATACTGAAATTCTTGAGCTTTTCTAGTGGGTACAGCGTATGCCCGCGTAGCTTATGCACAAAACCACTGGGTGTGATATTCACTTGATATTTGAAATCATTAGTGCAGTGCCTGATCAAACATATTTTGATTTGTTAAAGCTCCTAATTTTCCGTTTAGCTCCAAACCCTTTGAACATGCAGCCTGTTTGTGTCCGAGAATGATGTAAAGCATGAAGCAAACATGATCTAAACTTGAGCAAATGTTTACTGTCGAATTCTGTCACTGATTAACTATTTCAAAAGGCTAATGCAGATAAAACTAGTCCCCTGAGGTGATCAATTATTTTTTCCCCCCTAAATTAAAGGACTCGTTGTTTTGAGGCCAGCTCGGTTTGCTCATGGAGGGAGGGCATCATTAGCAGACCTATTCACCCTGCTCCAAGCTGAAGGTGATTCTGATTTTCTTTTTGGCAACTATAAATGTCGAAGCATGAACGAGATGGATGTGCTGTTAATCCTTTCAAATGACCTAAATTCCAATTTTAGTCCAAATGCTGCAAATGACAATCTGCTGGGTATTGCTCATAAATAAAATTGAGTAAACATGGTTTGACTAGGTCAAAGTTGACCATATATTTTTTTTTTTTTCCCCCCATGGTTTCACATTTTTAAGGTTTGCAAGTCCCACAATAAATTTCAAAGCACCTTTTTTTTTTTTTTTTTAAGCCTAAATGATTTGACCTGATATAAATGTCAATGGGACAATGTGCAGCTGGAAGACACATGATTTTTACCGTGTTTCACAACGAGTTTGGCAAACTGTTGCAGTTTACCTCGAGGTGGAGAGCCATGGGGATGATTAAAGTTTTGCCCAGATATCTTGATGCCTTTCGAAATGCGCCAAAATTCCAAGTATTTTAATGGCTAGGGAAAAACTTGGCCTGGAAGAGACTTTTGTTTTAATGAAGTGAAAATGCAGTTTATCCTCCCTGTTGATGTGGCAGTTCCGTGTGCATTTTCTAAAGCTGCAGGTAATCTTTTATTTAGACACAGATTACAGCTGACACAGTTTGTGCTCTCTCTCTCTCTGCTCATCTTACTTTGTACATTCCTCTTTTGTTGCACGCAGTTTTCCAAGCCTTTAAACTTGTGCCTCCAAGTCATTGCTTGATCTCTTAAAGCAAAAAGGACTTTAGAGTCAGCAGCTTAATCTGGAAACTGCCCCCACAATTCTCTTCACGTCCATGTGCATGCTGGGCAACAAAGCCTTCAAATCTCTTGATTAATCAGCTGTTTTTGTTGGATGCTCTTACCAGAGGTGATCATGGGCTATGGATGATAAACAGATCTATTCTTACCCATATTTTAGTCACTGTTTGGCTTTTTATGAAGGCCACAGAAGAAATTGGTCACATTTGACAAAATAAGAACATTAAAAGAATCAAAGGAAAGTAAAAACTGACTCAAAAGCTGATTTTGTTGGCCTAGTTAATATGAGCAACATGTTTAATCTTTAATCAGGCACATATTTTAGAACCGTTCGATTTGATGTCATCTCGTGGCAACAGTTTTAGTTGCCATCAGAAGAAAAACTTGGATTTTACATAAGCTCTAGTCCAGATGAGAAAAAGTCAATTACTTTGTAGACGGCTTAGTTGGTCAGATGAGTACTTTATTTGGATTTGCTGTCTTTTAAGTAACAGACGGAGGCTGTACCTGAGCATTTTGGGCTACTTGAAGGCAAACGTGTGAAAATATTAATACATTGTGTCCTATGCCAACTGTCGTGATGATGGTTCCTTTACATCACCACCATCACAGACCTTTTACTTTTCAGTCCATCTCTGAGCCTAAATGGTTTGCTACAAGGGAAACTTTAAATTTTATCGTTCATGGCCTTCTATATTTTGGTTAAAGGTAAACATATTCTTGAAACTGAATCTAATGCAGTTAATAAACTTTAAACTACAGCACAGCAGCGAGTGTATATGCATCAAGGGACATGGCTCTGTCTGAAACTTGGTAAAGTATTTGAATTTATTACAGTTATAGACAATTAGTCATTAGTTTCTCTCCACTGGCTTCCTGTCAAATCCATAATTGAATTCAAAATCTTACTTCTAACCTACAAAGCTCTCAACAACCTAGCTCCATCTTATATTACAGATCTTATTGCTCCACATTTTCCTAACGGAGCACTTGGCTCTTAGACTGCAGGTTTACTTGTGGTTCCTAGAGTTTCCAAACTAGAATGGGAGGAAGGTCTTTCAGTTATCAGGCTCCTTTCTTATGGAAGCAACTTCCAGTTTCTGTCCATGAGGCTGACACATTGTCCAGTTTTCAGACTGGGGTTAAGACTTTCCTTTTAAAAATATCCTATAGTTGGGGTTGACTTGTCATGTCTTAAGCTTAGACTACTAGAGGACAAATTGACCTCATTTCCTTAAATGAATTGTTAAAATGAAATAGTTTTCATTTGATACCGTTTCTATATTAACATGTGATTCTTGACCTGCCATTGTGTATCTGTTCTTACCAAACCCAGCCGGTCGAAGCAGATGGACGCTTGAAGGTTCCTTTCTCATGAGGGAGTTTTTCTTTTCCACCGTCACCTTCATGCTTAAGATGAGAGTTCTGCGATGGAGTTCCTCTGAAAGCAGTCTGCTCCTCAGATAGTGTTAAATTATTATTTTTATATATGAACGTTTCTGTTCAGTGCCCTGAGATGACTTCTGTTGTGACTTGGCGCTGTATAAATAAACAAAATGAATAGAAATTTTTAATGAGGTAGCAAGGACTTAGTGTAACAACATATGGGCATTAATCTCTGAAGGTTAGCATACTGTTTTGAAGAAGGCTATCTTCTGGTGGTCAGTCCATGCCTTTAGCTGTGAGGTTGGTCACTGTAAACAGCATACAGTCGACCGTTAGGCTTCTACACATCGTCACTCCAACTCTGACTGCCATGTGTGAAATTCTCTTCCTCCTGGAGATGAGACCGCTGTCTCTTCTTACTGCCGGGTAAGACTGGGCTCCTGCTTTCTTTTGACCTTTGGCCTAAACGGCTTGTGTGATCCAATCAGGCAGCCTGTATCTGTGACTGTTTGTTTGGACTTTAACGTGTCCTTGCTGTTTTCAAACCTGCAGTTTATTTACTCGTTAACGCTAAATTCATTTTTCACTTCTAGAGCTGTGCAGCGTCTGTATTTTTAAAACCGTTCTCGTGTGTGCTGTGCGCTAAAGACAACAAGCTGTGCATGCCCTTCCTGACATTTATTCCAGGTTTAAGAGAGTATAAAAACCTGAAACATTTTGTCTCGATACGATGTGAGGAAAAGGATTACTGTCAAAATGCTCGGTCATATTTTGGGGTGTGCCACACACAGGCTATTTATACAACATGCCAGCTCTCATTCCTATTCCATACAGTGATCAGGCCGTGACCTTCACCAGAGACTAAGCCTGCTGACGGCGCTGCATGACCATAAAAGAAGGAGCAACGAGTGGGAGTTACAATAGGAGGGGAGCAGTGATCTGCTGAGATTATAATAAAAAATCTATTGAAATCAAACAAGGTATGAACCCAAATATCAGTGTGTATATTATATTATTTAGCAGCCAAGTTAGATGTGCTTCCTGATTGTGTGTGTCTGTACAAAATCTTCACCTCCTGTTCTCATGAAAATGAAAGCTCTTCTGGATGTGAGCCACGTTGGGCCGGTCTCCACCAGTGAGGTCATCACTTGGTCGTCTCAGAGGACACTGCAGATGTGGGCTGAATGCGGTTCTGAGCAGAGCAGTTTATGTGACGAGCGAGGGAGGGGGCGATCGTTGTGTCACTTGAAGTTAAACCCTCCCAGTCAGCAAAATATTGGCTAAACAACGAGCGTGAATACTCGATTGGCATGAAAACAAGGTTTAAAAATCTTCATGTAAATACAATTAACTTTTACACATAAATGTCAAAACAACCTTAATCAAAACCAATGAAATTGTACAAAAACAAATGTTTTTTTTTATTGATTTCTTGCCTTTAAATTAATACACTTGCTAATTACATGTAGATTAAAAAATACCGTAAACTATAAAAGTTACTTACTGAACGAAGCAAAATCTTAACGATTATAGTTGCACATTTTCAGAGCAATATCTGTATTTATTATAAAACGTTATTCTTTAATCCCTCCAAGGCTGTGATTTCTGCGTTGCACTCATTTAAGTCTGAGTTAAAAAAAATAAAAATAAAATCCATCCTCCAGTGTTTTGAGCACATCTAACTCAGTGAGCTCTGCGACTCCTCCGGCTCTTCAGTTATGGTGCGGTACTGCTGCGGTTTATTTTCAGCCAGGGCTGAGTCTGTTTGGGTAAACAAGATGGATCGACCTTTCAGGGGTCTCTTGAGCAAGAACCACTGAGAGGTTACCAAGTTCCCATAGCCCTGTGAGTGGGAGAAGGCATAACCTGACCGACGGGTGCTGATACGCCTGACAGGTGGGCGGCGAGGTGCAGGTGATGGCAGCACCTCCTCTCTCACCATATATCTCACCTTTAGAGGAAAAAGAGGGACGAGACTTAAGATTAAAGGATTCAATGACTCCTGCGTGTAATCTCAAGGATTTATAATCAACCTCACTCGTTTCCTCACCTTGTCATTGATAGTTGGACGAATCTGCAGGAGAATAAAGCGAAGAGCCACCACAGGCAAAACGCAAAGAAGGGAAATCAGGAAGATTGTAAGCCACACATTTGGCTGGTTTAAAGAGTTCCTTGCTGTGCCTAAAATAACAAAAGCACACCAGAACAGAACTCGGGGATTAATTATTGAACATTAATGCCTGCAGGAACTGATTCAGATTCATTGTTCAAAAAATTGTACAATAAAATGAGCATTCTTTGAATGAATACATGCAAGTTGCTTGCTTGTAAGGCAAAGTTTTAGATAAAACACACACCTGTTTCTGTGAGTAGCATCTACATTTGCCCGTGGTGTAATCTACATGATACTTGGGTATACGGAGTATACCCACTATGAAAAGTTTAGGAATTTCAGTATACCCTCTTAAAAGTGCCCAATGATACATGCTATATCATTAGACACATGTCATTGATACGTTTAACGTCAGTTAAACGCTTCAGTAACAATCTATCGGTATGTATTCATTTGTTTTGATCGTGTTTTATAAATTTTATAATGTTTTTAAGACAAAGCCAACTGTTGTACAAAGTGCGTTCATTTATTCAAATATAAGCATTAGAGAAATTTGGAAATGTTCAATATGCTTAAAAATCAAAATAAATTTACAATTACATTGTACTAACCGGTGTACTTTGGTTTCTAAGCACAGTATACCCACTACAAAAATGTAGACTACACCACTGTTATGCACTGATGATGGAGTGTTTTGGACGTATGGTCCCCCTTTGCGTGTGTGAAGCCAGTTTCTGGGAATTTCACAGCAGACTGTCTTGAAACTCATCAATGAGGTGCTATTTATAAGACAGATCTTGGTGGCAGGCCTCAGACTGATGAAGTATTTCGGATGAAAGACGAAACGCTTCTCCCAAAAAGAAACTGTCCAGATGACATGATTTTACCTTTTTTTTGTGAGTGAGAAGAAGCTCTAAACATTGTTGAAAAATGTTCTTATATTAAGAAAATGTAATTAGGTTTCTGAAATTTATTAAACTCGACTCAGTGACACCAGTGGTTCAATTTGCCCTTTTAACGTAACATGACCAAAATGGAAGCTCAATTTTTTTACTTTTTTTGGGGGGGGATTAAAAAATGACAAGTTGGGCGGCACGGTGGCTCAGTTGGTAGAGCTGTTGCCTCTCAGCAAGAAGGTCACTGGTCAAATCCCATCCCAGGACCTTTGGGGGCCGAGATGGTGTAGGGGCAGGGCAGCCGACTTGGGACTCAAAGGTCCTTGGTTCAGTCCCCAGTCATTGCACATCTCGTGGTGTCTCTGAGCAGGACACCTCATCCCCAGTTGCTTCACGGGCACCCTCAACAGCTGCCCACTGCTCCACCTGCTGGTGGAGCGGTTCCTAATTTCCGGAGTCAAAATTTCCAGAACTGAACAGAATAGACTTCTAGGAGTCATTAAGAATTATTAAAAGTGCTGAATCCTCTCACCAATGAAGGGAAAAACCGATGTGAAGATGAGAAACATGCCGCTGCTGTACATGGTGAAAGTCACAGCAAAGTAGGTAGCCAGGCTGCCCCACACAAACAGCTGATTCACTGTTGTCCAGTAATGTGTGTCCAGACACAGCTGAAACATCCAAAGTGGATTTTAATGGTTAACTTTACAACAAAGCATCATGAACAAAACACCTCATTTTCAAAGTTTGTATTTCTTTACCATCTTTATGCTGAAATATGAAATGAAAATTGTATGTTTTTACCTGTGCGCTCACCACTACAAGAATACAAGTCTGTGCCAGTAAAGCAAAGGATTGATAGTCTGCAATATCCCCGCCGTCATCTCTAACTGTGTCGCGCATGGCGGCCCATGGGATGAAGAAAAGGATGAGGGAGCTGTAGCAGCTGTGCATCATACAGCGCACAAAGGCGTTTTTGCTAAAATACATGTTCAGCTGGCCGGGAGAGTAGAGCTGAGGATACTGGAAGCTCCAGTGGTCACTGACGTCCTGCAGACAGATCAAGAAAAATCATTAGAAAACTATGTCTACCCAGAAATCCCTTTAAAACACTTTTGAGGATGGTGATTCTTGTTTGTTATAATACCTGGTCAAAGAGGCACAAGCTGAGGATAGGAAGAGCCGTGTACATCAAGTTGTACAACGTGATGAACCACTCGTCGTACACTGTCTAACAAACACAATGTAAATGTCAGATTGTTTGAATGTCTCTGGTAAAAAGTTTGTTTTATAAAACATCCATCCAATGATCCATGGTATTTTGTTTTTCAGTCATGATCCACACCTCATGACCATAGTTTAAATTTAGACAGACCAGTACAGCTAGAGCTTTACATTTTGGCTTAGCTCTTTTATTAGCACTATAGACTGGAGCAACACCTTCATTACTGAAGACAAAACCCCATCTTATTTATCCATCTGTTGCTTGATCCTGCCATCACTCATTTGGACTTGAAGTCAAGAACATTCTACTTTTTTTTATTTTTATGGAGAACGATGGAGTCAAACTGAAAATAATTATGGGGTGCCATTTGTAAAGTTACACAGTCAACAATTAACAGCAATATTTTGGTTTATTTAGCCTTTCATAAGAAAAAAATGTTTTTCACCATTTTATTCATACATTTATAAATGTTATAATTCCAAACTAATAATTTACAAGCTAAATATTTAGTTTACAAACTAAATACTTATCTTACAAGTTAAATATTTAGTTAACAAGCTAAATATTTAGCTCCACACTAAATATTTTGTTTACAGGATAAATATTTAGTTTACAAACTAAATACTTAACATGCAAAGCAAATATTTAGCTTGTACACTAAATATTTAGCTTAAAAACTAAATATTTAGTGTGGAACTAAATATTTAATTTACAAGCTAAAGAGTTAGTTTGCAAATTAAATACTTAACTTGCAAGTTAAGTATTTAGTTAGCAAGCTAAATATTTAGCTCCACACTAAACATTTAGTTTACAAACTAATTGTTTATGTCCAAGCTACATGTTTAATTTACAAACTAAATATTTAAGTTGCAAGTTAAATATTTAGATAGCAAGCTCAATATTTAGCTCCCCACTAAATATTTAGTTTAAAAGCTAAATATTTAGTTTACAAACTAAATACTTAACTTGCAAGTTAAATATTTAGTTAGCAAGCTAAATATTTAGCTATGCACTAAATATTTAGTTTACAAACTTACTTGCGAGTTAAATGGTTAGCTTGTGTATTAAACATTTATCTTGGACATAAACATTTAGTTTTTAAACCAATCATTTTGTGTGGAGCTAAATATTTAGCTTGCTAACTCAATATTTAACTTGCAAGTTAAGTATTTAGTTTGTCAACTAAATATTTAGCTTGTAAATTAAATATTTAGTTAGTGAAATATGACATTTATAAATGTATGAATAACATGGTGAAAATATGACTTTGAAAAAAAAAAAACATTTTTTTTTCTAAGGAAAGGCTAAATAAACCAAAAGATTGATGTTAATTTTTGACTTTGTAACTTTATAAACGGCCCCCCATTAATAAATGTTTTTTTTTAATAAATCTTTTTGTTTGTTATTCTTCACTGATTGCAAACAAGACACATTCCTATGGTTTTTTACAATTATTGCTTTTGATATTCTGATTAGATAACAAGCAAAACAAATAGAGTTTAAAACTACTGAAGGCGGATGGCATTTGAGAAAGACTGGTTGAAAACATAAAGCAGACATTAACAGGGAAAAAAAAAGAGATAAATTGGTCAATTATAGGTCGACTTAACAGTTAAATCCATGAATGTGCACTTTTATAATGCATCTATGTACAATATGTTAAAGTGCATTACTTACTTGTGCAGAAAAGCCACAGAAGAAGGCATACCAGAAGTGCACGAAGGTGAAGGTGAAGTTCTTGTAGAAAAAGTACCGTAGAAACTTGCACATGCGAAGGTAGGACCAGCGACCGTGCACCAGCAGGAGACGCTGGAGGTAACGGAACTGAGCAAAGGAGAAGTCACTGGAGAGAACTGCCTGCATCCCCTCCTGACCACTGATTCCAACTCCAATGTGAGCAGCTAAAGGCCAAACAGAACAAGATTTATTTCTCACACGGACTAACAGGCCGGTGCGTTGCTTCCTGTTCTGCCTGAGTTTACCCTTGATCATGCTGACGTCATTGGCTCCATCCCCGATGGCAAGAGTGACAGCCTGCTTGTATTTCTTGACCAGCTGGACCACCTGGGCTTTCTGCAGAGGAGTGACCCTGCAGCAAATCACAGTCTGACACATGCATGCAGTTCTCAGCAGCTCCAGCTCCAAGTCCTTCTCCAGAGCAAAGGCCTGAAGAGAAATGTATTAAATATATTTTACACAAATGTGCACAAACCTATAGACATAAAGTAATTTAAATGCATCCCCAACAGATCAACACATATTTCATAAGAATGGAAATCACTAAAATTAAGAATTTCCAATCATTTATTCATTCTTATTAGATTTTTGTTGTGATCCAGTTTGATAAAACATTTGTTTTGTGTGATGTTAGTATCATCACAGAACTAATGCACAAAGTTATGGGCTACAGTAAATCCACTAAAAGCAACTTGTTTTGAAATCCCATTTTATTTCATGACCTTGATGCAAATTGTCAAATCGACACATAGACTGACCCCGTTAGATACAATAAAACATTAGTTATTTGCTTTATCTGCTTTTGAATCCAACACAAGGACAAAATCTTTGTTTTCTGATTTAGCCAAAACTCAGAGTAGTGATGTGTCTCACCAAACTGTGTCCGTTGATAACCAGACCGTAGTCTCCGTCCACGTCCTCGTCCTGCACCGTCTTTGTCTTCTGGAGCCAGAACAATCCTGCTCGAGCTTCCATCACTGTCGGCTCCTCTGCTGCTTCTGGACACATTTTCCTTCTCGCATTTCTGA